AATGTTAACAAGTTGTACAGCAGCTTGGGGATACGTTACGTGATGAGCGGATGGGCACACAGAGCTTCCGTACTTTCCATATCGACATGTCCCTCCTTCAGATACGGTAAAGGGCTACTGTGTCAATGAGGAAGCTAGGATAGTTGTGAGTCCCCGCTATTAACATTATCGCGGACTGTGCCTCTAGATGCAACTATTCCTTCTTTTTTGGGTTCGCAAACGAAATCTCCCGCGGAATATAATAATTTTTTATTTAGGGACTACGTAGTCGGCGGCGAAAACATGGCTAGTGAAGATGCAAAGTATGTCGACCTCGTAACGAAGCTCCATACGGGTGTCATGCAACAAATACCGGTGCAATTGCGATGTGGGATTCGCTGCACAAATCCTTACAATACTGCAGTTCAGGTAGGAACTTCTAGAGTTGTTTTTGCCATAAAGCTTCTCACGAAGTACTCACGAAGTATAGCAGGATGAGATCTACTGTGTTCCCAAGAAGTCCTTTCCACAAGTTTGTCTCTGCGATCTTGTCGGAGACAGAGCTGGTGCAGAGGCAAATGACGCTGCCCAGCACGCATGCTGTCCCGGGGTCTGATCACACCCCGATCAACCAAACCTATCTCTCGAAGCTACTTACGGTACCACACTCACCCATGTGCATAGAAATTCTGACTTGGACATCTCCTGGTCCTACAAGCCTGTTCTGTAGCCTACTCTTGCTCTCAGAAGCCACTGCGATCCTGAATGGAAGTAGAATGCGTAGCGCATCCCAAGAAGAATTAACTGACGCCGAAAATTTCGTCCTTTTCACTGCATAGTTACGGGTATTGAAAGCAGGACACGTCGTATGTTGAGGAATCCTGAGTGAAGGTTTTTAGTCGCTGCAAGGGGGAGTTCTGAGAAAATTTCTTTTGATAGCTGATTTTTCCTGTTTCACGGTTTCACGGACGATTCGCACCGTCACCCACCTTAGTAAGTGTGATTTCAGAACTACTATACGACTGATGTTTCGATAGCTGAAACTAGTAGGATGGGTGAAAGAGGAGGGGTCGTAGCATATGAGAAATATTGAGTGGGGGTCGTATGTAAAGTTGTGTATCACACCGCGAGCAGCGTAGTCGTTTATTATAGGTCACTTACTAGCGCAGTTCACGAAGGGCGGCTGATGCTCAATATGGCTCAGAGTACGCGCTGGAAAACGGAATACATTCTTGGGGAATTGCACACAGGTGGGTACTGGTATCGACAGCGATAGATCGGCGACAATGGAACACATAAGGCAAGGTACTTTCGCACCTTTCATCCACATTTTCTGGTCTACAGTTCATAAACGGCTTCAGATGATCCATTGACTAGCATTACTGTTGCAGGCAGCTCGCTCGGCTGAGCGTTCTCTGCTCTCCTTCGCATCGAGGTGGTGCGCAGATGTCTGGAAGAGCTATGCTGAAGACTGTATACGTCGTCTGTAACTGGAACGGAAATGCTATTCCCTGCCGCTTCGGCGGCATATGAAAATCACATTCACGGGTGGCTAGCTGAAGATGAGTGAATATTGGGAATTTGGGTTTCAGACGAATTAGGCGCAGGTGTCGATGGGGCTGGGTTATTCAGAGGTGACATGTCATTGAAGTGCTATCTGATGAAAAATGAAGACAAACTGTTCAGTCACCTCCACGTATCCTGGTTCTTGCCATGTGTGAGGTGAATGGGTTCGCAGCTGCATTAGCGTGCCCCTTTTTCGCCTCAAAATGGCATGGGAACCAGGGCTTGGCCGGGTGATGATACGCGGGTGTCGTCTCCCGACCCAGCCGCCTGTCGTACGAGTATCACCAGCCTACGCGTAGTTCAAGTAGCTAGGACTTTTTGTATCCACGAGGTGCTTCTCAATCTCTAACGAGGGTAGCGTGGGCGGAGGAGTGGAGACTTCGGGCCATTACTTCTTTCCTTCCCGTGCAGCTTGTGAGGCGGAGGAGGTAGCACGCTTTTGCAGCTACGGACCGAATCACCTCATGCATGACAGGGACCAGACCAGCATAAGTTAATGATGAGGAAGCCCACATAGTTTCATTGTCCGTGGCGACCCAAAGACTCAGTCACTAAGGTGGCATCAATGTCACGTCATCTGTCTCTTGAAATTTAACCTCTTGGACCACGTACTTCACTCACTCACACGGTACAAGTTGTCCGGGCAGGGCTCACGATCGTAGGAATCATTTCTTTTCCTTTGTTGCTGCCTCTCGATCACTCAGTAGGTGGAAGTGGTGTAGTTGCAAGTGACACGCTCACTACGCGCGTAGTCAAGTCCTGGATGAGCTCCTACCCAGGCCAATCAAGCCTTGTACCCTGCAGGAGACAAAGAACTGGGTTAGGTTCTCCTGGAAGAATGAAACCACTTATTGTACAACAGCTGGCCCCCGTAATTTATTGGGCCATATCGCATTCAAGAGCCACTACAATTCTGTGTGGAAATTGAGTGCGTGACGCATCCCTAGAAGGGATTGTTCAACAAAGATAGCTTTGCCTTTTTATCGATCATTCAGTGGGACTTCGCCGCGACCGCACGCGTCTTAGACCGTGCATTGAAAACCTTATTATAGAATGTGTGCAGCTTTATTTTTTCTCTTACCTTCAGTGCTAATTTCAGGAGTTTGTTCGAATGCAGCCTCAAGAACAGATTCCCGTTATGGTTTTGGTCTTAGAAGGATTTGCTCTATGTGATCCTTTGGTCGAGGTAAGGAACTACTCTTTCTACGAACTTTCCTGGCTTTTTTCAACCGCTTTTTTCTATTCAAATGTTTCCAGGCCTTCACTCCGGAATGCTTATCGTCTACGGAACTTTGCTCTGCGTACACCCGTTTGTCCGAAGCTGTTAGGGATCCCGAACGAAGTCCTAGGGCGCTCAAACTTTTGAGTGAGCTTT